GTGTGTGTATATGTATAGAAATACAAAAATAGCCTACTACTTACTACTTTTTTCCTACTTTGCGATTTTTCACTTATTGCGGTGCTTCAGGGTATGGATCCCCTACGATAAATCAGGGACTACTGTACTGTGACAATCATTTCCACCCCTGCAGGATAACGTAGTGAACATGTGGTATTTTTGTTCAAAGACTTTTATGTGTGTGTGCACCATAAGAAAAATATGTTCAGTCGTGAAAAAAGCTTATTATAAAAGTTTTTGTATCACACCAGAACCGTGCGGTCAGAGTAACATGGAGCCCGTGTGATTGATTTAATGCCTTAACTTGGTTCTGTATGATGAGTTCTAGGACTTGTTTGGCACCAAAATCAATTTTTTACACTTCAGAAGATATGCAGGATAAAGTTAAAAATATGCTAATGGAGCCAGATTATACAAGCTGCTGTTTTTTCCTCTTCGGCTGAAGTTATTTCGTGGAGTAGAGCACCAAGACAAAACAAAAAGAGTAAATTGTGATATATTTTGGTTGTGAAACCATGTGTGAGGATTGTAGTTGATTGTGATCCCCCCAGCAGCTCATGTTATACAGACTATATCCCTCAGATGAAGCAATAATAGTGCTTTTAGATTCTCAGCATCGGGCCACCCTGTGATGGCCTTTTCCTTTCGTAGCTGATGTGGAGTGTCTCCTCATGCAGCACTTTGTCATCCTCTTCACGATGTACAAAAAAAGCAGCTCGGTATCAGCATGATCACGCACGTCTGACTGGCTGGAGCACTTCAGATGAATGTAGGAAAGTTACTACACAATTTGCACCATGTGTACTTCATCCTGTGTTTACCATTTTCTCCCCCGCTCCTGCTGTGTGAGGCAGTGCGCTCATGAACCAGCACGTTGACTCGTATTACCATCAGATCGTCTCAGTGTGAGTCATTGTGGAGAGCAACCGTGCCTTTTTCCTTTTCTTTTGTTTCGAAGCTCGGATTCTCTGACACAGCCCTATAAATCTCGTCTAAGGGCTAATTGCCTCTAAATTCTCTAAGGCTCAGCTGAAAAGTGTCAGTTTTTTTTGTCCTTAAAAAATTGTGTAACCTCAAATCTAGCTAATACTTCAAACTGTTATAACCTTTAATATGTCTAAAGTGTCTTCCCAATCCACTTGGAAGTTGCTATTTTAAGGGTCTTAACTGAAACTTGAGAGCTAAAGAGGATTGTAGCTTCTGCAGCAGTAATGAATTCTGTTCCTTTGATTGGTTTCTTAAAATGCTAAAATTGCTCATGCAATCGTTGTGCAAACCTTGCCTGGACGCCTCCGTATGTAAAAATTGGGTGAGGCGTAAAAAAAAAGTTCCGGCAGTATGAGTTGCATGAGATCAAAGTGATGCTGTACACAGTCTGATTTTTTTTAAACTCACCATTTTTGACTCATAATGTCATTTTTGTGTCACTTTTACTGCTCAAAGAAGTTTAATACATATAGTTTAAATCTTGATATTTCGGTTTACTTTCTGCTCTCTGTTAGACCAATTTCTTCTATAAACCTGCATATTCTGAACTTCTCAAGTCTAATTAGTGCCAGTTAATTTGCATTTAATTAACTCATACATTTCTTTCATTCTTGCTAAAACTAGCACATATCTTTGAATGCAAAAGTGTCCAAATACTTACTCAAACTACAACAATAATAATGTTCTTTGGCTAAAATTTGAAAGATGAATTCAGCACAGTTCAGGATCTGTGTGGAGTATTCAGAATCAGATTAGTTACGTATTTTAATAGTTTCTGAACTGGTGCGTTTAGATATTTTTTTCTCTTCTGCCCTTTCTTGTTTTTCTCCCATTTTGTCTGACATGGCAAATAAAGAATGAATTAAATGTCTTGTGTTTTACAATATTATATTTAATATTATTATATTTAATATTATTATATATAATATTATTATGATGTATAATAATATTATATATAATTCACTGACAATCATCGGGTTTGCTCCTTGTGTTAAAAATGACAAGCTCCATATTTGCTTTGCAACCTACTTTGTGCACTGTTAATTTATTGTGTGTGCATTTTTTTTATTTATTATTTTATTTTTCTTTAAGGACATTTTCTTGTGTAATCACTTTCCTTGTCGGGCTCAGTCGTCCTTTTTTTGGACTAAAGCCCTGTCTTTATATGATGGAACATCATTTTTCTATGAAGGTGGATGCATTATCCTGTCCGGCTGTTTGTCCGTACACATTTTATTAAACTTCATACACATTTGTACCCTCACTAGACAGCATGCCACATACGCTTACATGCTCTTTTCATCACCCCAGCTTCAAGGTCACAAATGAAGGTCAAAGGTTATACAAGATCTTTGCTTGTCTAGATATAGGTTGCTGTATACTGGTTAGTTGTTACTGGTTAATGTACTGGTCAGGTTTATAGTAAGGACTAGGCTGCAGAAAGGAATAAAAGTGAATACAATGTCCTAATAAGGATAAAATTATGAGCATTGTGTGTGAGAGAGGTCAAGCTCAAAATTAATTTTGTTAACTTCGAGATTCAAGTAGTGTTAAATTATCCAGTGGTTTTTAATGCATTTACATTTTTTTTTTTTTTCCTTTAACAAAGTTTAGTATTGTAAAGTACAAGTAGCTAAACACCAATAGGTGGCGTAGTGGTTTTATTTTATCACACTTCTGTCAGTTCTGTGGGTCTGTATATGTTCTGATAGTTTCATCTGTCTACTATTTTACAAAAAAAGGGCTCATTTATTTCCAAGTACAGATATATTTTTGTATCCATTAGAAAAATCCAACATTAAAAGCAAAAAAAAAAAAAAAAAACCCAAAAACATACTGAACAGCTTCTGCTAAGTCACGTTTGCCATCTGCTCATATCTTGAGTTTACTGTCATGCATGTGTAACACATGCTGAAATGTCATCTCCGCCTCTGCCTTCATCTGCTGCATACTAACACATACGACCGCCTCCCTCGCTGCTTTGAAGGGACTGATTTACTCAAACGACTTGTCTTTGTTCGTGGAAGCCGTGCACTGATGCTCAGCGTCTTGCTGCACAGTAATATGGATGCACAATGATGGTTCATTAGAGAAGAGCTGTTAGCTGAATGGCATTAGCAAGATAGCAAGCAGTAGGTTTGTGAAAAAAAAAGACAATTTCAACCATGCTGTGGGTTAATTTGGACTAACTCAGTTTGACAGGAATTTGTAGACAGAAAGGAAAATGAACTGGCATGCTTTAGAGCAGAGGTCTGCAACCTGCGGCTCCGGGGCCACATGTGGCTCTCTGGTACCTCTGCGGCGGCTCTTTAAGGCTTTGACCAAAACTACAAAAAAACTGAATTTAATTTAAATTATTGCTTACAATGAAAAGGCTAGTTTTAGCAGATTTCCTGTCATTTTCAATTATGTGAAAAATAGTACAAATACAAGGCGTAAAACATGGACTACATCATGCTAGTAGTTTGTTAGCCACTTTAAGTCAACTTCCAGTCTCACAGCGTGATTTTTCTCTCAAAACCATCAGAATGTTTTGGAATATATATTAATATATATTAAGACAAGCTGCTGAGAAGGAATATTTGATGACCCTAAGAATAAAGCACACACACAAAAAAAAACAAAGTCAAAGTAAACAAAAGTATTTATTTTCCTTTAAAAATGTAAATGGATATGCAACAATCTGGCCTTATTTAATATTGCCTTTAACTTTATGCCTTAAGTAGGAAACTTAATTCTTCAACAGTTAAGAGAACTCACATTGGCCTGCAGAGTTCAGTGTTTCAATTTAATAAAATTGTCAAAAATTATATATATATATATTTTTTTTTTTTTTACACAAAACTGGTCTTTTTTTTTGTATTAACATGTAAAAATATCAATAAATGTTAATAATTGGACATTTTTCATTTTATAATATCACCCCCACTGACCGGAAAAGCCATCTCCAACAAACTTGTAGTGGTCCACGGGCCTCCAGTTGACAGTTGTAGCAGGTTTTGCGGACACATTGTAATTTGTAAGCAAAGTGGCAGAAATGTGTCTTTTTATCACAAAGGTTGCAGACCCCTGGTTTAGAACATGTGGTGTTTATCTGTATCATCCTATCTAATACTTAGATTTATTTTGGAGGAGGTGTTTTAAGAGATGAGTTCAGCATGACCTTGTTTGTGTGAAGCTACAATTCAGTGAGTTTTCACTGCTCCCCTGTGTTCTCCTGCTTTTTCCGTCTTCCATGAAATTCATGTGAAAGCTAATGGGGCTCGTGCTCATTTCACAACCACTGCTCATTTCATAAGCAGGACCCAAGCTCTCCATATAATTACAGTTTCAGAGTATATATGTATCAAATTGGTAAAAAAGGACAATGGTAGCAGGCGGAGCTTTATAAAGCAGAGCAGGAACAAAGGTTGCAGGGACCCCTTTTAAAGAAACAAGGTTTTCAGTTGAGGAAGACTGTGAATGAAATGACGCTGAGAAAAAAGAGACTTTCTTAAAAGGCTTTGGATATTTGGTGCTTTCAATGCAGACACCATGATTGTTATTCTTGGCCCATCGTCAAAGGAAGATTACAGTGTCCAAGCTGTCCTCCCAATCTAGGAGGAACATCAAAATTCAATTTTGCTCCCTTCTTTTATTGTTACGTGTTACATTTTTACTTTGCTTTTTTCTCTTTGTAGGTTTCCAAGAAGGTCGCTGATCTCATTCTGGAGAAACAGCCTGCTTATGTCAAGGTAGGATTTGAGCTTCAATTCAAGGCTTAAAACCATCCTAACCCAAACATTACCTGGTTCCAAAATATAAACAAAAAAAGAAAAGAAAATGAAGGCAGTACAGTAGTCCCTCGTTTATCGCTGGGGATCCGTACCCTGAAGCCCCGCGATAAGTAAAAAACTGCGAAGCAGGAATAGTAGTGCAAGTAGTAAGTAGTAATTTATTTTATATACAGACCATTTCCAAAACATTAGAATATCATGGAAAAGTTGTTTAACTTCTATAATTCAATTCAAAAAGATGATCTTTAATAGATGATAGATTCAGGCCCACAATTTAAATGATTTCAAGTATTTATTTGTTTATTTTTACATAATTTGAGCTTCTATCTCATGAAACCCACAAAAACAGGATTTCAAAAAATTTGAATACTGTGGAGAAATCAGCCCACACTACTTCTCAGTTTTTGCAGAAAAAAAAAAAAAAATTAGGATCACAACAAATCAGTCAAAATATGGTACTTTCAAAACGATATGTCAATCTTCAATACTTGGTTGTGAATCCCTTTGCTTTAATCTCTGCCTCGATGTGACGTGGCATTGAGACTATCAGCTTGTGGCATTGACTGTGAGTTATGGAAGCCCAGATTTCCTTGATGCTTGCTGTCAGCTCTTCTTTGTTGTTGGGTCTGGTGCCCCTCATTTTCCTCTTGAGAACACCTCATAGATTCTCAATGGGGTTTAGGTCCAGCGAGTTGGCTGGCCAGTCGAGCACTGTGGCATGGACATCAAACCAGGTTTTGGTGCTTCTGGCAGCATGGGCACCTGCTGGAAGATGAAATCTGCATCTCCATACAGATCCTCAGCAGAAGGAATCATCAAGTCCTCTAAACCATTCTGGTAGACGGTTGTGGTGACCTTGGATTTAAGAAAGCAGAGTTTACCAACACGTGCACCGGACATTACACCCCAAATCATGACTGACTGTGGATATTTCACACTGGACCTCAAGCAGTATGGGTTCTGTTCCTCACCCTTCTTCCTCCAAACACTTGGACCTTGAGTTCAGAATGAAAGCCACAGTTTACTTTCATTGGAAAAGAGGACCGAGGAACCCGACAGTTGTAGCACATCTCCTGGATGTGTCTGAATGTGGTTGTTTTTGAAGCTTTGACTCCTGCCTCATTCCACTCTTTCTGGATCTCTGCCAGATTCTGGAATCTTCTGTTTGATAATCCACTGAAGCCCACAGTCATCTCTTTTGCTGGTGCATCTTCTCCTGCCACATTTTGCTCTTCCACTAGACTTTCCACTGATATGCTTGGACACAGCACTCTGTAAACAGCCAGCCTCCTTAGCTATGAACTTTTGTGGCTTACCCATCCTATGGAGGGTATCATTGATGGTCTTCTGGACAGTTATGTCTGCAGTCTTCCCCATATTGAACTGAACTGAGACAATTGAACCAAACTGAAGCAATTTAATGACACATGGGGAAACCTGTGCAGGTGCTTTGAGTTTAGTAGATGATTAGTGTCACACTCCGTTTAAAATTCAGTTCAATTCAATTCAAAAATACTTTATTAATCCCAGAGAGAAATTAAATGTTGTTGTAACTCATCATCCTGGTTTCATTGAAGAGTTGTTATAGATGCTGATGACTGTGGGCAGGAAGGTTCTCTTGTAGCGGTCTGTCCTACAACGGATTTGAAGAAGCCTCTGACTGAAGACACTCTGTTGTTGTATGACAGTCTGATGAAGAGGATGCTGAGGGTTGTCTATAATGTTCTTCATTTTATGAAGAATCCTTCTTTGAACAATCATCTCCAATGGTTCTAGAGGAGTCCCCAGAACTGAGCCAGCCTTCTTTATGAGCTTGTTGATCGTTTTTTTAAGTCACTTGCTCTGGTGCTGCTCCCCCAGCAGATGATGGCAGAAGAGATAGCGCTCTCTACAACAGACTTATAGAAGATATGCAGCATCTTGCTGCAAACATTGAAGGACTTCATCTTCCTCAAGAAGTACAGTCTGCTCTGTCCCTTCTTGTAGACGGCTTCACTGTTGCATTTCCAGTCCAGTGTGTTGTCCAGGTGAACCCCAAGGTATTTATACTTCACCACCACCTCCACTTCTTCTCCCATGATGGAAATAGGGTTGGACCTGTTCCTGTTCCTCCTGAAATCTACAATCATCTCCTTTGTTTTGTTCACATTCAAGATGAGATGATTGTTCCCACACCATGCCACAAAGCGGTCCACCAGTTCCCTGTACTCAGCTTCTTGTCCATCTCTGATACACCCGACCACTGCAGAGTCTTCTGAATATTTTTGCAGATGACAGAAGTCTGTTTTATACTGGAAATCTGAGGTGTACAGAGTGAAAAGGAATGGTGAGAGTACAGTCCCCTGTGGTGCTCCAGAGCTACTGACCACCTGGTTGGACACACAACCCTTCAGTCTCACAAACTGTGGTCTGTTTGTCAGGAAATCTTTGATCCAGGTGATTGTTGAGGCCTCCACCTGAGTCTTCTGGAGTTTCTGACAAAGCAAATCAGGCTGGATTGTGTTAAATGCACTGGAGAAATCAAAGAACATGACTCTCACAGTGCTGCTTGCCTTTTCTAGATGACAGTGAGTTTGCTGAAGCAGGTGTATGATGGCATCTTCAACTCCAAGTCCACGCTGATAAGCAAACTGCAGTGGGTCCTGATATGTGCTTGTTTGTCTAGTCAGGAGGGTCAGCATAAGTCTCTCTAGGACCTTCATGATGTGGGATGTCAGGGCAACAGGTCTATAGTCAATGAGGACTGATGGGTGAGTTTTCTTTGGCACTGGAACAAGACATGATGTTTTCCACAACACTGGAACCTTCTCCTGGATCAGGCTAAGGTTGAAGAGGTGCTGCAGAACCCCACAGAGCTGCTCTGCACAGACCTTCAGGACTCTGGGACTGACACCATCTGGACCTGCAGCCTTATTCCGGTCAGTTTCTCCAGCTGCTTCCTCACCTGACTTCTGGAGACACAGAGGAGGGAGGCAAAGAAGGTATCAGCATCTTCTGATTTGGTTGAAGACCAACATGTAGAAGAAAGGTCCATGACTGAGGTGGTAGATACAGTGTTTGAGGGTGACAGGACAGCCTTGGGTCAATGGAGGGTGGTATGTCTGTTTGGCTGTGAGCAAGAGAGGAGGATGCTGAGCTTGTTCCTGAACTGAACCAATTGAAGAATGTGTTCAATTGTTTGGCTCTGTCCAGGCTTCCATCCTTCTGATCCTCCTTCTGCTTGAAGGCTGTAATCTTTTTCATCCCTGACCACACCTCTCTGATATTGTTCTGTTGGAGCTTGCTCTCCAGCTTATTCTTGTACACCTCCTTGTTGTTTCTGATCTTGACTTTTAGTTGCTTCTGGGTACTCCTCAATAATTACCTGTCTCCCTTCCTGAAGGCTCTTTTTTTCTGGTTTAGCAGTTCCTTCAGGTCAGTGGTGATCCAGGGTTTGTTACTGGGGAAGCATCTCACTGTTCTGGTGGGGATGGTGTTGTTTACACAGAATTTTATATAGTCGGTCACACACTCAGTCATGGCCTTGATGTCCTATCCATGTGGCTGGCACAGTGCATCCCAGTCAGTAGCCTCAAAACAACCCCACAGGGCTTCTTCGGCTTCCATTGACCATTTTCTCACTGTTCTCTTTATTGCAGGTTGTCTCTGAACAAGGGGTTTATATTTTGAGCAGAGAAACACAAGATTGTGATCTGATTTGCCAAGAGGGGGTCTTGCTTTAGATGTGTGAATCCTTGACATTTGCATAAAACAAGTCCAGCGTTTTGCTTTCTCTGGTAGAGCAGCTACCAAGCATTCATGCCCTGCAAAATTTGGGCTGATTTCTCCACAATATTCTAATTTTTCGAGATCTTGTTTTCATGGGTTTCATGATCTGCAAGCCCAAATTACTGTATGTAACAATAAACAAATAAATACTTGAAATTGTTTAAATTGTGGGCCCTGAATCTATTATCTATAAAAAATTAACTTTTTGAATGGAATTATGGAAGTTAAACAACTTTTCCATGATATTCTAATTTTTTGAAATGTGTATATAGGTGTATAAAGGTCCATGACTGAGGTGGTAGATACAGTATTTGAGGTGTGACAGGACAGCCTTGGGTCAATGGAGGGTGGTATGGAGATGGTGAGCTATATAATCACTCGTATTATATAGCTTGCATATATATATATATATATGCCTATATACAAACCGGATTCCAAAAAAGTTGAGACACTAAACAAATTGTGAATAAAAACTGAATGCAATGATGTGGAGATGGCAAATGTCAATATTTTTTTTGTAATAAAACATAGATGACAGATCAAAAGTTTAATCTGAGTAAATGAAATATTTTAAATGAAAAATATGTTGATTCAAAATTTCACAGTGTCAACAAATCCCAAAAAAGTTGGGACAAGTAGCAATAAGTGGCTAAAAAAAGGAAATTAAGCATATAACGAACAGCTGGAAGACCAATTAACACTAATTAGGTCAATTGACAACATGATTGGGTATAAAAAGAGCTTCCCAGAGTGTCAGTGTCTCTCAGAAGCCAAGATGGTAAGAGGATCACCTATTCCACCAATGTTGCGCAGAAAGATAGTGCAGCAATACCAGAATGGTGTTACCCAGCGTAAAATAGCAAAGACTTTTAAGTTATCATCATCAACCGTGCATAACATCATCAAAAGATTCAGAGAATCTGGAACAATCGCTGTGCGTAAGGGTCAAGGTCGTAAAACTTTACTGGATGCTCGTGATCTCCGGCCCCTTAAACGTCACTGCACCTCAAACATGAATGCCACTGTAAAGGAAATAACAGAATGGGCTCAGGAACACTTCCAGAAAGCATTGTCAGTGAACACAATCCACCGTGACATCCGCCGTTGCCAGCTGAAACTCTACAGTGCAAAGAGGAAGCCATTTCTAAGCAAGCTCAGATGTTTGCACTGGGCCAGGGGTCATTTAAAAT